CAGTCGGGCGAGTACAGCATCTTCTTTAAAATCTAATCACCCCACTGTGAGGGTGGGGAATAACTTATCGGTGTCGCTCACAAGCTGCAACGCATATGATGAGAACCATGGACCAAGAGCCCGTGAGGTTGGTGATGATGATGATGATGATGATGATGATGATGGAAGTGCAGGTGTGATGATGAACAAGAAACTACACACCAGATGCATGAATTCTACCCTGACCCCCCGCTCCAAGCCAGCACCAGCTGATGGACCTTCAAATCCGGACTCCTGCCGATGCTTGGCTTCCTGTGAACCTGTGAATTTCATTCACCCAAGGCCCCCTCAGCGGAAGCTATGATTGACTCGCTGTTTTCTGGACCTCGTCTGCGGCCACGGCAGTACGAGGCCATGATTGAAGCTCCAGATTAGCTCTGCTAGATTCGTTCTGACATAGCGATCGCTGGCCAAACTGTCTCTCAAGCTCTAAAGTTTGCAACTTGCAAGCGAGCAACCCAAGCTGAGGCAAAGGTAGTTTGAGGGCACATTCCCAACGATGGTGACCTTTACAGCTGATAGTTCCTCAATACTCAGCATAGCATCTGCGCAAGGGCTGCTTCCAAGCAAGCCTGCAGCTGGCTCGCATCAATCAGCACTCTGGTTGTATCAGTCACCTTAGGCTGTCATCTGCACGTTCCCAGCCAACAGCTAACATCTGACAGGGCCCACATTGTCCGCATCATTGCAGCTTCGGCACATCGTAGTTTTGTGAAGTCTCCCCCAAAGGGGTGAAAACGATGTTGCCCGTGCCCCGCAAGACCCGCTCGGCAAAGGTCAGGACGATGTCGGTATCTAAGATCTGACACCCTACCCAGCTCCCTCATTGGCCTTGCCCACTGCGACTGCAATTGGAAGCACTTAGCGTAGGGTCTAGCTTGGGTCTACTGCATGAGACTCTGCTGTAAAATGCAGTTTTAATCAAAGCTTGTCACGCAGAGCTGTACTGCTATCCCGGCAGCCGATGGGAACATCTGTGGTGCCGATCGTGGGGCTGTAGGCAGTGATGCCTTAGCCATCGATGCAAGCACACAGATCCCTTGCATGGGAGTTCCCGGTATGCAATTGAAGAAGACAGACAACAGCTTTACAACCAGAGCATTGCAGCAAATTAGCACGCATGATGCTGTTCTGAAAACACCTATGCATATCGGGTTGGTTGAGACTCGCAAAATACAGGGAAGCTGTAGAAGCTAAACACACATGGCCGAACGAAGACTATGGTGGCAGCTAAGGCTCAAGAAGTCCACCAGTCCTGGCTGATCAAAGATTCTAATGGCTGAGAGCGAGGTACTGGCAATGCAAGTAGTCAAGGCCGGCTTTGATCATTCTCAAAAAATTCAGAGTAAGAAGTCAAGTCTGTTACTGATAGGTTGTTTAATGGATGTTTCGGGAAGTACCATCATGTCTCGTTGAGATGCATTCACCTCTAAGAAAGACGGGTAGGATACGTTTTCCGCCAGCCAAAGGCCGCTCAATGCATCCAGCAACTCAAACGGTGACAAACCCACCGATTTGCCAGCGAGAGTCGTAGTTCGCAGATGCGGACAGCGCCGCCGCATAGTTCAGGTTCATCGATGTGTCTAGAAAACACTGTGCAGCGAACACGACCTGGTACCTCCAAAGCAAATGACTACATCCACAGCGAAGTGTCGCAGCGACGAGTGAAAGTTCAGGCCAGGCAACTGGCTGCAGGGCAAAATCGGAAAGGCGACAGTGTCAATCGTGATGGTCGCAACCGCGCCTAGCATGCTCAGTCGCAGCTTGCATCCACTTCCTTCACGCGAAGGCGCCTGAAACACTGATCTGCGCGTCACTGCATTTGGGGGACACCGAGAATGGTGTCTGACGCTGGTAGGGGTCCTGCAAGCCAAGGTTCTAAAGCTGGTTCCACGACAAGCGCTCTCAGTCCTGGATGCCCCAGGTTGGCGCAGTGCCCGATGTATCCTGTACAGTATTTATCTAGCGAGGCACTCTGTGGCCTACATGTCAGCAGCCAGATGAACTTGATGCCAAGTTGCAGGGTTTACTTGGATATCCTCGTCGAATGTGAACACCTAAGTTGGCGTCTGCATCGGCAGAATGGAGGACTTGCTTAACACTAAAAGCATCCGTGCGCGTGATTTCTGAAGCAACGATAGTTCTCTGTTGTAAAAGGCCTGTGTACACAAAGGCTGCCGGCTGCTATGCTTCACCTCCCTCACCGTCTGTCTGCACACATCCCCTTATGTTCTTTCCACAAAACATATTAGAAGGGCCGCGATCGTGGTGGTCACGGCCACGTTGGGCGACTCATCAGCAGGACTCATGGTCAGAAGCGTCGGAGATGTAAAGTCACCTGTGGCCAATTTGAGAAACATACATGACTAGAATGGATTGTAAATGCAAACTCACTTGGCACGTGCAGCCAACAGCATGGACAAGTTCGCAGTTTGTGCATGTACGTTCAGCCTGTGGTGAATTGGATCGAGAAAGCTGCATTGGAGTCTGTGGCGCCAGTGTTCTGGATAACGCCAGCATCGAAGGAAACGGTGTACACTGTTTTCTGCCAGGATTCATTCTGAACACTCGGCACCATGAGAAGCATGAGCATGTGAGCAGGCGAGCAGGCGCCTCTGCAAACACAATTTGCCGCCCAGATCCGCTAGCGGCAGCATTTAGAAGAAGGGACGCGCCACTGATGACCACCTAATTCAGTCTCTGCAATCGCCTTTGAAACTGCAGGTCCCATGCATGCAGCCTCGCAGCCATGGAAGCAAGACTGGGCGCAGCACATCCGAGCTGGGCACAGAAATTGTGGTGGCGGAGGCACTTGATGTCCCAATCCCGGATATTGCGGGCTGCATAGTTATGTAGCCAAAACTTGCTTGGATGTTCTCCTCAGCTGCAGGCAAAAACTCTGTCAGCTGTTGATATGCACATTTTGCAAAGAACTCTGGACAACCACATGATTAACCTAGGCGCCGCAAACTCTATCTCTACGATAGAGTTGGTTCGCACATTCTGGTTGTTGTTGGTCCATGCTTGGGAGTCCTGCCACGCGGAAACAGTCATGAACACAAAATTCAGAGGTGCTTCCAGTCCTGGACATCGGAGCCATCAGGCCAGCTGACGTCCTGTTTCTCTGAAGCCATGTCAGAGTGGTGCGGCTCAGAACAGCTTCACACTCCACCGGCGCCCAGCACCAACTCACCTAAATAGGCAGAAGTCCTGGAGATGCGTAAGTGAGACTGTCCTTAGCAGCTGCCGCTGAAACTTGCAGAGGGAATTGCACCGAGTGATGAGGACATGCAAAAGAAGTTTTAAAATCATGTCCACACCGAAGTGGCTGGGTCTTCAGGAATTGCTGCTGCACGTCGCCATTTGCCACTCCCAAGAACAAGGCCAGGAGCCTAAAAATGGCACACGAATGGCCGGCTCTGACACACCTTGGAAGCTTGCAAGGAGCCTGGGCCACGCAGTGCGCCTCCTCGCGCCCATGCTGCACCGCCCAGGCCACGGTGGGCCTAGGCCTGCCATGAATCAAATCAGCAAGCTCATCCCGCGATGTGAATTGTCAATGCTTCCGAATCTATCATCCATGCAAGAAGTCGTGGTGCCACAAGACTGCCAGGCCTCACCGTACCCAAGCCATGAGCACAAACGTTACCAATTTATACGTGCTGGGCTGGTATCAGGTAAGGCCACCGATCTTGCTTTCTGGGGAAGATCAGCAGCTGGATACTGGCAGGCTGATTGTGGCCAAGAACACCTCCCAAAAAAGTCCAACTGCTAGAGATGTTGTGCTAATTAATGTAGAAACCAAGAACAACACATGGAACTCTGGGTGGAGTTCTTGAGCCAATAACATCATCGTATGACTGAAGCAGAACAAAGTTCAGAAGCTTAATGATAGCTTGGAGCTAGTTAAAACCAAGCATTTCAGAGAGGGCCATAGTACTGTCAGACAGTAAACAACAACAGCTACAGCGACACTACCGTAAAGGTTGAAGCACCAAAAGCTGCTAATGCGCTTGCCTTGCGTTTCAGATGCAGTCCTTTGTTTTGCTACACCTCACGCACCAAGCACTTGGTGAGTCGGTCAGGAGCGCTGAAGAGGCAGATGCCACCTGGCCAGAAGCTTGGAGAAGACTTCGTCAACCCTCGAATAGCTTAGCTGCTCAGCCAAAGGGTCGATCTTGGAGAATGAAGAAGTCTTGCGAATCCTATTGCCAAGCTTCCGGCTTTGCTGGAAGTTTTCTGCAGCCTGGCAGAGGCGGCCGTAGAACTCTGCCTGACAACTTCCCACCAAATACGGCGTCTGATAAAAAAGAATATGCTTATGTTGTCTCTCACACGCACATGTGAAAAGGACACTCATGCAAAGGATGTGGATGCAAAGTGCGTGATTTGGCAAGTCGCAGAGTATGCGGGAAGCCGCGCACGACAAGCCCCCCTTGTGGCTAAGTCTGACCAGCTCCGGTTCTCTGGGGTTTATGGTATGGCATGGGGAATGAATGTATCGCGTCTGTTATCAAGAATGTGGTGGCGAATCATGCTTTGTGGAGTTTGTTGGCTTACTGGACGCACCAAGTTCAGGGACTCTAAGCGCTCGAGGTCTTCATTGGGGCACTGGGTCTAAGGATGCAGGCATTCTTAAACGCGCATCTGTGAAGCTCATCCCAGTACCCCTCCCCGCCGCACTGCGACAGCTGCTGCAGCGCAGCGTGAGGGCTACAGTGTTGGCGGTCTCCGGTACCTCTGGCTGGCAGGCATACCAGCAACAACTGTGATTGCTGCCCCGCCTCCAGAGCCAGCGCGGCCGGAACAACCTATCTTACTCCGCTCCGTTGGCATAAGCAATCCGCCCCCAGCTCAAGCTTTGCAAGACCACAACGCACGGCTGCCTTGCCGTTGCTCTGCAGGCGCTTCTGGAAGCCGCGGAGCATTTCCTGGAATGGCATCTCGGAATCAGAATATGTTGCCATGAAATTTCAGATTTTTACCCTCACGTCCTCAGTGGGAAAGCCAGGCGGCACATTGGCCTCAGCAGCCAAGGCATATGCGTACAAGTGTTTGGTGCTTGCCTAGTGCAGCGCCGCGCACCGCAACCACGGCTCGCTCTTTGAGAAGCACGGGCAGGGCCTGTGCCAGTGGCCCGTCCTCAAGGGCAAAACCGGTGTTTACTGCAAATGAATGCTGTTGCTGAATACCATCTTAGGAACGGAAGTGGGTCTTAGAGTTTCCAAGTCCTACTCGCAAGCTCGGTCGAGCACCGTCCTTGTCCCACAATGGTCGCGGGACGCGATTCAGTGCATCATAAGCATCAATGATGACCTGTGGCTACAGAAGCTCCACCAGGCGAAGCTGGGCTCTGACTTAACTAAGTTGAAACATCTCAAGGCATCACAGGGCGGCTTAGGACAGGCCACCGCATCGTAGCGGGGGCCATGCGGATCAGCTGCCCACCCCGCAGCAAGGGCAGCACCTGGCAAAGCGCTTTGCGTAACAACAACACAAGCACAGGCTTCGTGAGATCTGTGATGGCTGTTGAGAGATGTCTTTTCATTTTCATCTTGTGATACTGTCAACTCCTTGTACGGGCTTGGGTGCGGGCGCCTTTTTTGCAAGGCCCCGGTATCGTCAAAGCCTTCTGAACAGCGGAGTCTCTGAATTGTCCTGACCTTGCCCACAAAGGTAGGACTTTGCAAATCCACAAACCGACCCGTCAGCGGTGTTGTGTGCAGGCCCAGTTGGCGCACCAAAATCGCCAGCTTCAAAGACACAAAATTCAAGGTAACAAAACCAACCCCAATTTAACTCACTTCATGGCTGCTTCTGAAGCTTTGATTGCCGCCAGGACACCATCACCACAGATCGCTTGCAAGCGGCCACCCAGCGCACGGCGCAGAGGCGATCGGCCAGTGCCTGATTCAAGCACTTTGAGGGTCTGGCCACTGAGGCTTGGCATGCCGCTGCTGCTGCGAAGACACTTGAATGATAGCTGAAATGAAGGTAAAGTAGCCCATGCTGTGGTGCTGGTGGTGGGTCAACGAACAAGATGATCGCACGTGGATGGATGGATGTTTTGAAAAGCCATCTGTCTGTGACTTGCAGTCCGTACCGCTCAAATGCTGAATGGCCCTGCGCGTCACATAGCAAAAGAACAAGAGGGCTATCTGCACTTCAGGTACAAGAACACTTCCAGCCTCCACCCGCCTCAATTGGGAATCCAAGCGCTTCTCCAGCAGCTTGGATTACCGCAGCCTCCCGACTGCAGGACTTCCCCTTGCAAAAAAGAAACATGTGCCTGCATCCCGATATATATCAACCCATCCTCGAGTTCCACCACATCCACTCGGCTGTCTGGAAAGGCATTGGCCAGCCATAGGGGAACTGAACCAGAGCCTTCTTGCACAAAGCAAACCCTGGCATGTGTAATGAACCTCGAAAAATGGAACAGCTGTTGCCCTGAGATGCATTCAGGGCTCCCAAGCCGATGACTAGCACCCGAGGCTCCCTGGCTGCAAGCATCCGCAAGCTGGCGGCAACAGAGGCCGCCAGGGTCTTGGGGTAGTTCAAGGCCAGGACCTTGCAGGTCCAGTGTTGCTACACCAAAAATTTGCCGTGTCTTCTGCTGCTAGCTGCTAGATGTTCAAGCTTCCAAGGGATCAAGAAATGTGGGCTTCAGATACTGGCCATACCACCAGTTCTGCAGCATGCTTGGAAGTGCTGTGGTAAACCTATCAAGCTAAGTCATGCCTCTGGATCTGCTTCTGGAAGCCACTTGTTGTCAGCGGCGCACGTCACTTTCCTGAGTGTTGGGAAACAGTACAAAATGTCTCTGCAAGCTGCGTCGTGCAAGCACAGTCAGACGAGAGCATATGACATGCCAGGACTTTGGCCATAAATATCAGTACGAGCTGGGGGCTTTTCAACGGAACTCTGTCTCACCAGCCGTCATTGGAAAGCCAGCGGCGACACGGATTGTATGAAGGGAGGGCCTCGCTCCTACACAGCTGGGATCTTCATGGAGAAGCAAAACTTCAAATCATATTCCCCCAATGCAAGCTCAAAGCGACTGCAAACAACTCCTGCGCTGTTTCTGGCGCGGATTCGAAAACCAGGCTCCTTCATATGACTCAATGCTAAGGCCTTGTCTTGTGGAGCTGACCAAGACGGCTCAAACTTGACAAACTCTTGCTTCTCGCCTCCACTCCTGGAAGCTCCCAACTGGCCAGCCTGCAGGCACCTATGGGGAAGGGTGCCCGCATAGAACACTAGTGCGGGCCAAGACAAATTGCTTCTTGTGTCTGCCAACACATCACACGCAGATTGGCAATGCAAGAACGATGCATTTGCACAGTCCTGTCATACAGGGACTATAACCGACGCCGTTTCCCGGCCCATTTACCAAGAGCTTTGGGAGTGGTCCTACACAAAAAAAAAGGCAGAATGTGTTTTAAAACCCCACCTGCTGCTCCGAAGCCTTGTAAGCCTGCACCAACAGCCGTCCACCACAGCTGAGCGGAAGTGACAACCTGGCAGGCTGAGTGCGGGAGAACTCTTCGCGAACCCAGCTAAAAATTTGATTTTCATGCCACGATCATTATGAATACGCTGCGATTGTTCACTGCTGACGCTCTTCCATCCTGCTCAAATGCTAGATGTTAGCCGCTGTTAGCCACACGTACTTCAAAAGGATGTCTTGCGCCATAGCATTTCAAGTTAGAATCGACATGCTGCGATTCAAATGTTGGATTCTTTTCGAGATTGCGCCGTAATCACAGCGAAGAATCTGTCAGTTGGCCTTTGTTCGCCGGGTCCAGAGTATTCACCTCGAAGTTCCCTCCTCGGAACCGGGGCTCGTGTACCACCGCACTGCAGTTTGTCAAGCCGTGATTGGAAACGTACAAAAACAGCAACCCCACTGGCTGCTGGACACAAGGTAAGAACCGCAATCGTGAAAAGCACGGCGTCTCCTTCCAGGATCTCGTCGTGCAAAATCCGGAAAAAAGGCAATATAGGGAGCGGGCGAACCTGTGCAGATTGCAAACAAGAAATGTCACAATTGATGTGTGGTCATCCGCATGATTGTCCGAAGTTGTGGGCATATGCCTCCGAACCGACATTTTTGATGGTTCACTGTCATTGGAAACCCATGCAGAACCATGATTCTAAGTTGTTGAAATTTGATTTCAATTGGACAAAAATCAGCAAACCATCTTCCGTCAGAACTTCTGCCAAGAATCTTAGGACGAAAACCGTCATGACCATTGCAATCGCAAGAACGCATGATCTGCTTGCCTCATAAAACAAAGTTGCAAGCCAAAGACGCGCCACCATCATGTTTAAAACGAAATGCGCGCTCAAATCATTGGCAAATTATCTGCATTGAGTTGAGGCTCTCCGTGGCAAACTCTGATAGAGCGTCTTGGACGACTCGGCACCATTGCCATCAATTCAGCGTTCGGTCAGCTTCGAATATGTGAGAATTCGATTGAACAACAACTGGCAGTTGCATTGCAAGAATGAAAAACTCAACCGGGGTTGTTTGTCCTGGTACATACTTAATAAGGAGATCAGAACAAACCAATAAACCACCATGTCACCCCAAGCCACATCATGCTGTAGAGAATGAAAGTTGTTCGCAATGTGTGCTAGCTCGTAGTTTCCACTAGCGGCTAGCTCTTGGGTCTTGGAATGCGTGACAAATCTTTGCAAGTATCCAGACATTGACTGCATAATGTTGAGCGCTCCTTATGTCACGTGACAACAATGGGAGGGAACTTCAGGCTGAGGCTGAAGACTTTACTCATCAGTTTCCACCCACAGAGTGCACAGAATGCGCATCTGGAGCCAATGTCGCAACCCAACTTTCCTCTAAATGAATCATATCTGTTTCTTCTGCTTCCGACAGTTCAACATGTTTTGCGCATTCATTGCCTGGTTCCTGCTGCACTTTCCTCTTTTGGATAAAATCATCTACCATATTGTCATCTCCCATAAACTGCGTTTGATGCGCTAGCTTGCTACAACTGGAAACAGGCCAAATTGGTACTTGTTTTGCTAAACGCGAACCATATGTGGTCCTGTCATTGGCAAGTCTTCTTCCTGATTTTTGGCTTGGGTCTCTTGCTGCTCCTAGGAACGCATTCCACGCCATACCGGGTCCTTGAAGAAACTAGAACAAACATGAGATCAAAATCAAGCTTGATATCCAACACATTGCGCTCCAAGCGCCGCATGCTACTGATCCTACAACTTTCAACACCGCGGACGTTTTTGCAAGGCAACTATGCGTGGGCTCCCGAAACATACCACTTCAGCTTCAGGTGCATATGTGTGACCTTCGTGGGAACAAGGATTGACCCCAGCAAGCTTAAAAGGTCAGAGGTGAAAATGGTAGAAGGCAGTTTTCTCAGGCCAGATGCACCACATCTCTTTTGTATCACAATTGTTCATGCATCGTTCATTTTTTAAAATTTAACATAAATTCCACAAATTTTACCCCTTTTTTGGAAGGCCTGAGATTTTCATCTTATTTGGGAATTGCTTGATGTCATTTTTGTTTTGGTCACAATTTCAAGATTTACAAACATTGCCTTGTTCATTGCTCGAAATAATCGTTCCTGCTTTTTTCTGAAATTTTTACCAAAATTTACAAGTTTCTGAAGAATGGCATTTATCTCATTCGTTTTCATTTTCATGATTAATGGTACCTTATCACGTCTGTTTTGATTCTTGATTTATTTAGTTTTCGCATGGGGATACACAAGCTCTGACATTTTCCAAGGTTTGTTGATTCTTGGGGTTGTGTTGTTTTACCAAGAATCAAGAGAAACAATTTTCATGAAAAGCAATAATTGTTGCTTGGGTTTTGTTAGTCTTTAAATTGAAATCAGTGCACTACCAATAACATCTTGACATGTTTAACCAACGTTGAAGTTTTACTTTTATTTGCTGGTAAACAATTTCTTGCCCTGGCGAATCAAACGCGATGTTGACAGTCAATTTTTCCTTCATTGTTTTCCACATGTTCCTTTCTATGGTGGTTGTCTCCTTTAACGCTTCTTTATTTTGATTGCTGCACATTGCTTTAATTTCTGAGCATTTATCACATGTACATCTTTTTGGCCGGCATTTATCAAAAAGATTTGAAACCTACAAATTCAAGATTTCGGGGTTCGTTTCCTCCCAAGTTTTCAAGGTATTTATGAGTACGGCAATCATCAAACATTTCATGAAGGTACCCATTTTAAAAAGCATACATGCATGAATAAAAACGCATACTCCTTTAAAAGAAACAACGTATACCGTATTCAAAACGTATATACATCCTATTTCAAAATCACAGAACCGCTGTGTGAAAAGTTTTCGAACCCTATGCAGAGAATCACATACGCCCTACGCGAAAGTCACATGCCACAAGATGAAAAAATCCAAATCCTACTGAATTCAATCAAAACCACATACCGCATATGTAAAAACCACCATATCGTGACGTAAACCCCACATTCATTGTAGATATTGCTTTTCCATTTTTCACATAGTATGCCTGCAATCACTCAAAATGTATATTCACAAAGTTTGGATCTGTAAATGTATATTGAATGCACACAGACGAGGTCCTTTTTTCCGCATGGGGATTGTGTCCACACTTGCCCGCTCGAACGACGGCCAAGGTTACGCTTCCCCAACAATCCCAACAAACTTGGGCGACAAGCTCAACCCAGGGTGGGAAGGTGGGAAAAAGAATTTCACGGCCAAACCTTGAAAAGAAAATGGCTTCAGCGTGAAATTCATTTTAAAAAAAACACCAAAAAAACGCGTGAAACATGGAAATTTTTCATGGAAAAGAAATTCGCAAGCGTAATTTTTCATCCAGGAACATTCTCATCAATCTTCAAAATAATGGTCCATCCCTTTCTATATGGCCGTTTAGGCAATGGTGACTTATTCTTCAGATACTATGTTTGCGTCTTCTATTCCAAATTTGCATTCAATCACTCAATGTATTTATATGTATTCGCAAAATTAAATGTGAATAGGTAAAAGTAAGATTGAATGCACACAGAGAAGGTCCTTTTTTCCCCACGGGGATTGTGTCCACACTGCTTGCTCGAACTCCCTCGTCCTCAAGGCGTGGATGACACATCCCACGAAAGGTTCTGCCAAAAGATGTGCTCCAATCCATCCAGGCACAGTCTTGACGGATCATCAGCTGGGTTATTCTTTATCGGCGCTCGCCCGCACCAAACACGCAATTGCAGAGACAGCTCCAGCTGCCTGACATGCTCAACCATGTCTGCCGCTTTGGCCGTGCCTCCACAAGATTTTATGAGCGCATAACGAGCTGAATCCTTATCCAGGTATGCCACAACCTGCGAGGAAGCTAGCAAGGAGCCCTACGCCTTCAAGGCGGACAAAAAATTTTGTCCAAAAGCTGCAACCTTTGAACCTGACTCATCATAAAAAAAGGGCACCGACACCACCTGACTGTTTTTCAGGATCGCATGCGCCGTTTCTGAACAAGAACCGAATGCATAAGTTGTTGCAACGGATCTGAAGCGGCATGGCACTGTCCAATCGCTAATGCACATGAGCAAATGCTTGCAGCGCTGCACTGAGAAGCTTCGCAACAGATGCACCCGTCATTGCAAGACGGTCAAGCGATTTAAGCGTTTGCGTTATGTCTCATCCGGAGGCTCCGGCGCACGAAGCTTCATTGTTGGTCAAGCCTGCCTTTCCAGCACCTTTGTAAGCTCCTCCGCCGTGTTGCAGCGCTTGCGCGAGTCCAACAGACACTGAACCTCCAAAAGCGGGAACTCAGTCTGAACCTCCCCCAGGCCGGAAAGTCCCTGAGCGCCTCCCTCCCCCTGCCGTAGTGGAGAAACTTGCCGCCTTGCCCGGGTGCGGTCAGACAAAGGAGCAAGGCGGGGCAAAGTCCAGCTTAGGCGGACTCTTGCGCGGAGTGCGAGCGGATCTCTGCATGCTAAGTTGCTTTCGGCCTGCAGGATTACTTCCTGAAAGAACTCCTGTGGGGAGCTGTCCTCGCTTGCGTCCAACCGGCGGGTCAAGGTGAACTACTGCCGGGTATGGACCAAGTCCAAGCGCCGATAAGCAGTGCAACGTCACTGCACACAAAAGAGTTTGGTACTTTGTACTCTTTGCCATTCCGCTATGATGATGCGTTTCAATGAGGATGAGGTTCTCAGCGCGTTGATTGAAGAGTTACATGCCCTCACCGGCTGTGACAATGTCCACGGCCTGCCCCATTTCCTTCCGAGTCTCCCAAAAGGCCCCAACTCGGATCACAGGTCGATCATCACAACTCCCCTCACCCGCTATTCTGAGAAGAACCGACCTGTGGAAATCGAGGGTAAGCTCGAGTCCGTCCACTCTCCGAAGCCTTGACGTCCCTGCTGGCCAGACAGCAGTGGCCCGAAGTGCACCTCCCTCTGGAGCTGGGACTCGCAATTGCTGACAGCTATGACTCAGTCACGGCCGCCCACATGAAGAAGAATGCAGGGCTCTGGCCGTCTACCAAGGACTGCGCTCAAAGCTTGCAGCCACTGGAGTGGTATCTGATAGCATAGTGAGACCCTCTCCATCCTCCCACCGGCTGCGCCACCAATCCGGCTGAAAATTCCCCTCATGGGCTTTAGCCATCTATATAAATTCTGCGCCGCCCTGAAGGAAGTGGGCTGGCCCACTGATTTCAACACTGGCCTTAATTCTGACTCTTATCGTAGGCTCATGATCCTGCTATATGTCAGGCCTCTGGCGGATTTCATGGCCTATCATCTTAGAAACCTCAGGCAGATTCCATCGCTCCAGCGACCACAACACGCGGAATAACGCTCAAATGTCGCGCCAAGGACGCTTACCGCGCGCAGGTGAGCGTGGGCACGCTCGCTTTCTGCATCTGGAACGCTCACCGCGCCACAGCGAGCGTGCTCTCACTACCAGCGAACCCCCGTAATTTGACTTTCGAATCAAGATTATTAAAAATTTTGCTTGCTCACATCAACTGCTTTGTATACAGAGCTGCTTTGCCGCATTCGCCATACAGCAAAGTTCTACTACTCGCCGGAAATCCTTCCAGTCAATATTGGTCATTTATTATTCAACTCAATCTTGCAAAATCGGAAAGTTCAAAAAAAAGGTGCTTATGGAAAAACTTACGCAACAACTGCTCTCTGCACAAAAGTGCTTTCATGTATTCGAAATACCACCAAATCCCTGGTTTTTGGCCGGAAATATTTCGTTCCAGTCAATATTGGTCACTTATTATTCAACTCAATCTTGCAAAATCGGAAAGTTCAAAAAAAGGTGCTTATGGAAAAACTTACGCAACAACTGTTCTCTGCACAAAAAGTGCTTTCATGCATTCGAAATACCACCAAATCCCTGGTTTTTGGCCGGAAATATTTCGTTCCAGTCAATATTGGTCATT